TATGCTTCAAAATGGCGTCAAGTAGCTTGACTCCGCACTTCCCTAACTAAGCTGTAACAGTAGTAGTAGTAGTAGTAGTAGTAGTAGTAGTAGTGGGGAGGCGAAGCGTGGCAACTAGGGCTTTGATACTTTTTACCGACCCTCGTAATATCAACACTGTACTATTCCACAAGCGATCTACTGCTAAATGATTATAAAATAAATCAGGCCCAGCGACGTGATATAGACGACATACAATATAACATCTTTGCTCTAAATTAAATTCCGAGGCGGAGATTCAAACCCGCAAACCTCGGGTCGACCGACTGCTAGCTCGATTCGTTAACCATGCTACCGAGGCCTCTAAGGTACGTTATCATGAGTTAATAAAAAAATATGTACGGCAGAACTTAGCCTCTCAGGTAAGGGTTAGCTACGAACAGGCTGACAAAAGAGAAAGTGGATTAAGTCCCAATTTCACCAACATTAATATTATGAACCAATGGGAAAATACCTTATCGAAATGCAATTTGACAGAAGCTGTCAAAGGTCTCTGAATATTAGTGATTTCTATCGAAATATTGAATAAAATCGTGAAAACTTGACTGTATTATAAACAGCACTCTCGCACTTTTTGATTCCAACATGATGCTTTTGTACAGAAAAAACAGGACAACTTTCATGTATTTTGATTTATGTTATACGTTTACATTTAACAATCCGTTATCCCCCTCAGCGAATGGGAATGCGGCAAATAATAGGTCGATTTTCTAGCTGTTAAATTTGGCAGCAGATTTGGACGTTTGTTAATGCATGTCACTCTCGAATTTACCAACTTCAATATACTGAAAGTTATCATTACATACCTGTTGAATAGTGTGGATTTGTCTGTATTTTGCAAGAAAATAGAATATAAAATACATTCCATCCAATTCCTCATCTTCCTTTACGTCACAATAGTAATCATTTATTAATTTATGGGTTAATGAATTTCTTCAAAGCAATAAAAACATTATGTCCTCTCCATCCTAAGACACAGATAATATGTGTAAGACGTGTCAATCCCTATATCTTCCTGATGCATAATGCAATTACTATGGACATAGAGAAAAAATTATGAAAAATGTTTCACAAATAATGTCTTTCAAGTCCAAAAATCAGAAAAACTAGTAATGTTTATTGTTTGTCTTTTTGACTGGCGCACTGGCGGGGATATCTATCTGTCACTCGCAGGGTTTGCCAAGTCTAACGACGATCACGTCCCGTGGTGGGGGGTGCGAAATGAATCTTTTCCATTTGCTGGTTTTGAATTTTTTTCGTGAAAAAGTATTAGGTATCATGATTATAAGCATCTTTGGTAGATTGTTAGACCCGGAAAGGGAAAGATCTCCTATTTATGAAAATATTTTTGGTATCATCTAACCGTTGCAATCAGTGCACAAACACTGTGACATGATTTATAGCATAACCCGCTGCCCTATCAATACAAATTTAGCATACAGTTCGCCTAGCCGTGGGGATGCGGTGGTCGGGATGAATATCACGGCAGCAACTGATGATTTGGGCATGTCTGCTAACAACGTATGAAGTGAAACTTGCTAACTTCACAAATTTGAAGATTTTGTACATTTTCTTTGAAAGTGATGAAAGATATGTCTGATTTGGCAGGGTAATGTCGCAGCCAAATGGCAGTCACTCTTTCTGACACAGTCCGGATCGAAAGATGACGATCCTCGTGAAATGTAGTGATACTTCTAAATACAGGATCGTATCGAACATCCCTACTATCAAGATGTATAACCCAAGGTACCGACAGAGCTATTTTGCGGCGTCATGGAAATAATTTTAAATTTTCATTTGCACCAAGAGTTGACAGTTCCCACACATGTGTCACTCCTTGAAATGCAATACTCAGCTGTATTCAAATAATGTCTCATATAAATATAACCTAGAATGTGTACTCGTGAAAAAAGAAAAATATGGCAAATTTGTAGTTTTTTTGCAGGTTTTAGGTTTGCTGGTAGCTTTAAGGCATATATTTGGGAATTTCTTAATCGCTGTGAATATAGTGTGGATGTTTGTTCAGTTCCTGAACAACGAAAGATATTCAACTTTATGGATGTATGAATATAAAAAAACCTGAATGGTTTTGTGGGAATATCATTCTAAGGTGCCATAATGGTTCTGATGAACGGCAAGTAAATGAATGAATATTTAGAAACGAGCAATATCTTTTGGTGGAGCCTGTCATCAAGTAGGTGCTTAATAGCTATCTGCAAGAGGTTTATAGGAAAAAACACCCAGTATTGCATATCAATTGAAGAAAATAATATAAACATGAATAAAAAATCAACAATAGTAATTAAAACATGAATTTTATTCAAATATCCAACTTTTCTTTAAATTTTGACTGAATTATATGTAATTTCTTAGTATTCAATAAGCTGGTGATGTTTGAATGACCAGCTGTCATCTCATTCTTTGACAGTATTTTGTTTTCAACATTCCATGGCTATTGGTTGCTAAAATTTGTTGATTGGAACTTGAAGCTCGTTCGTTGTAGTTGACGGTCTGTTACCCTATACGTGGAGAATAACGGACTGTTGTTGGTGAAATTCGCCCTAAATCAGCCTAATAGAACCATACAGTTTGATCATCACCCTCGACCATTTGATAACGCTGCTTCACCAGAAATACCTAGTGTCTCTTCCGATACTTAACCACACCAGTCAGTCAGCAGTGCGCGGTGACCGGTAAGTTATCATACGCTGACACATGAGTTACTGTGGTTGGATATAATATATAACCGTTAAAAATCGAAATATCTCCCAAAAATTTTCTCGAAAATGGCAAGATCTCTGAAACGTCAAAAGAACAAAGTCTGAGAGATTTTCATTTTTTCGTCTCTTGTTGTTAGTTCTCCCACCACTACATTACTTCTGTATTCAATGAGTAAAGCCCTAATCTATTATTTGTTAAATACAGTATGTAGCCTTAGACCGCAACTTTTCGGGTTTCCCAGCTTCATGAGTTGTTTTGCCATACGGCATTCGATTTTTTGAGAAAAATGCTTACGGAAATCTCGGTTCTAGAATATATCTCATGAATACCAGTTATAACATCGCAACAAATTTCAAGCCCGTTGTGTACCAATAACTCTTCTCCTGAGTGGTACTCCCACCCTTCATATATGGCATCATGACCTGATTGGTCCACAAGGTAAAGGCCGCAACTTTTCAAAATTTGATCTTGGTTATGTATTGCACTGTCAAAATATAAAAATGTGAGAAGAGTAATGTTTCCAATGCTATTCCAAAAGAAGTTCTTATCCCAGTGTCCGGTAAGTACTTTTTATTACTTCCGATTGATCACCCTGAAAAAGGCGAAAAAAACTTTAAAAAGGACCATGTGCCAAACAATTTGAAAAAATTAAAAGTACAATATTATTTCAGCAACACCCTTCTAAAATTTCGTTCACCGCCTCCTTGGATTCCATCCTATTCGCGATCCCGGTTCAAACGTTCGCCGTTCACAATTTTATTTGCCTACGTCCGATGAGGCCTTTGTATCGATACGTGTACTGAAGTAACCAACTATCGAGCCAGAATCCCTTTCAGAGCTCTAATGCATAGAGTGAAGGACTGAAGCTATCAATTAGCTCCTCTGATATCCTCTTTCCAAGCTTCACTGCTACATTTGGGTTGTATTACCAGTATTATGTATGGTGGCACAAGATGGACGTTATGGTTTGGATTATTTGCAGTGTGTCCGTACAACGAAAAAATCAAACTCGTCCAATTTTATTTTTATAGTACGGGGTCTATCGTCTAGCATCGCCGCTGCTTTAATTTAAATCTTATGAAAAATAAGACATCTCGTGCAAAATTTTCGGTAACAACGGATAAAGCTGAACAATTCAGATATTGTTACAATTTTGTATTGTCACCCACAAAATGATCGTCTTCTAAAGCCACATAGCGCTGGAGACGGTTCTTCCAATACTCATAGCAGTGCTGGAACTCGGATTCTGGAATAGCCTTCAGCTCGTCGGTTACAGCCGTTTGAATGTTTTCGACTGTCACTTGCGGTGATTTTTCAACTTCGGGAAAAGGAAAAAGTCACAAAGACTCAAGTCTGGCGAATAGGGAGGCTGAGGATCCACAGGAATGTTGGCCAAAAACCCGTTTATTGTCATTGCTGTGTGAGCATTATCCTGATGCAACACCCAGCTGTTCTTGATCTGATGGACGTTGAAGTGAGTCAACTCTTCCCGATGTATCGCCCTTATAGGGCACTGATAGCAGCTGTTCCGTAATTTCGATCCGGAAAATTTTTTAGACAAAAAGCGAGATAACTGAGTTATTTATTATGGAAACTGATCCAGGGGGGTTAGGATATGGCGCTTCCACCTTGCCAATAGAGAAGGAGTCGAAGGAGCAGACCGTAGAGGAGTTGAGATGGTTGGAGATGGTTCGACAGGAGCTGTCAAAAAAGGAAGATGATAAGAAGACTAATTAAAGATTGATGATGATCATCGAAGCCCAGCAGCGGACAATTAACGACCTAAAAGTTAAATTAGACCTCCTACTGATAACCCAGGTACCTTCCCAACAAAATATTAGACATTCTTCCCAAACACTCCAACAAAATCCCAGTAAAGACAAAGCTGTCAATATTAAGAGACCGTTAAATAGTTCAAGCGATCACTCCACTGACGACGATATACCCCTGACGCTTTATCAAGGTTAAGCCCCGTTAAACGCGATGAAACAAGACCGACACGACAGCCTGAAACGTCTCATTCAACTGCAAGCGACTAGAATAAACAGCTTGTGCCTAATCTATCGCTTACTTCTTCGCCTTTGATATCTCAGGTATCAGAAGACACGACTCCACAGCCCCCACGCAAGGTACGTGTTACCCCTATCGTTCTTCGCGGTGTTTCGAGATGGCGAGGCGTAAATCACAAGTTTATTTCTTTGGGTATCAAATTCGAACGCGCGGTTGCCGTCGATGCAGGAATGAGGATAATTCCCAAGTCCGAGGATGATTACCGCAGGATTACTCGACTCTTTAGGGAGGAAGAGGTGCCCCACCAGACTTTCTCTCTACCCTCGAAGAGGAGCATTCATGCTGTACTCAGAGGAGTACCTGCGACACTCTCAGAAACGGAGATCAAGGAAGAGTTGCAACAGAGGAGATATCCCCCCCTGCACATAATTCGCCTTAAACGCGGTGGCGGCGTGCCCATGCCTTTGGTGGTAGTCATACTGCCCAAGATCTCAGCAGCTGTTCAACGAACATGAGCTGCTAGGTTTGGCTATCCGAGTCTAAGTTCAAAAGCACTCAAGACTCATCGGGCAGTGTCACCGCTGCCAAAAATATAGGCATGCACAATCTTACTGCACTGCACCACATAAGTGTCTAAAATGTGCTTCTGACCACATGCGCCACTTATGCCCTCAAACAGAACAAGAGGAACGAACGTGCGCAAACTGTGGAGGGGGGCACCCAGCGGATAGCCAAACTTGCAGATTTGCCCCTAGGAAAAACCTGCAAGTGATAGCGCAAAGGCGATCCTTCCTGCAAGTGGCTAGGTACAATAGACGACAGCCTGCATTTAACAAAATTCTTTTTTTGGATTTGTTATTTGGGTCTAAGGGACATGCCCAAAAAACGGGAATTTCATCAGGCTCTTGTGGACGAAAGTATAGATGTGGCCTTGCTGCAAGAAACATTACTTAATCCGGGAGATCGTCTAGCTTTCCCGAATTACGATGTTATCCGGGCTGATAGACTGACTGGACGGGGTGGTGGCTTGGCAGTGCTAGTGAAACGCGGTATTGACTACCACAGAAGCACAAACGCTGAGATACAGAGCATCGAAGCGGCTTCCGTATACTGACGATACTGCATTGGTGGCTCAGTCGTGGTCTGGTGACCTAGTCCATGACAGGCTGCAAAGTGCGGCGGAGAAAGTATTAGATTGGGCGGATCGGTGGCTAATTAAAATTAACCATTCGAAAACGCAGGCAATCTACTGTACAAAACGACGTCACGGCGTTCCGTCTGAAGTTTCAATGAATGGACTTGGTATACCATGGGAATCCTCCGCTAAGTATCTCGGTGTCATTCTGGACAAAGGGATGACGTGGCGGAACCATATAGAAGTGCTAAAAACTAAGTTCCAAATTACGTTTCGACAGCTTTACCCATTATTATGTAAACGTTCAAAATTAAGTTTGATTAACAAGATTCGACTCCATAAGGTGGTCATAAGACCAGCAATTATTTACGCATTTGCGGCTTGGTGTTTTAATGCTAAAATACACATGCGAAATCTGCAGGTTTTGCAAATCAGGGCCTTGCTGACTATTGCTGACGCCAAATGGTATGTCTCTAACGAAACTCTACATAGAGACCCCGATGTCCCTTACCTAAAGGAATACATTAAGCAACACGCGCAGCGGCGCTATAGCCTAGCGGAATCGTACAGCAACCCTCTATTGCGTGAGTCAGTGGACTACACAGTCGAGCAAGTTCGCATGCACAAAAGGCCGCGGCTCGCACTGTAATCAAAATTAATTCGTGAACTTAGGACAACCAATATTTTTAGACCCTATCAAAATCCGGGAAGTGATTTTAACAATGCCTAAACGCTGCCTATCCTAAAAGATTATCTTGTCCCCCTTTGCTCTCGTTCTTCCCTCCCTCGTTTCCTTCCCTTTTTTCCTTAAAATTGTCTGGTTTCTGGGTTACCAGACCTGACAGACTTACAAACTGTCACTGTGACTCAAGAGCTACGGTCCTCCACGGACCGCTCTGACAACCAACGATGACTTGAAGAACTCTTGCTGACTGTGAAATGGCGATCTGAACGCATAAGATCCCGGATTCTATTCGTTTCGTGGATCATCTTCAATCGCCTCTTGCCCATCTGAAAGTGCCTTAAACCACGGAAAGACCTGGGCTCTTGATAAAACACTATCCCCGTGTGCCGGTTTAGCAAAAGTTACACTGTGTGCAAGTTTGAAGGAAAACCTGATTGCACACCTTTGCTTGAAATGTATGTCACTAAATTTTAGAACACAATAGAAAAAGCTGTACTGGAGACATATTCCCCTATCTCCGCTCCAAGTCCGGCGCCTCCAGAGTTGCCAGTTCGAACGCTACGGGGCCTGACTCATCACTTAATTTAGAGACCTTTTATTTAATAGCGAACCACTTTTAGTTAGCCGTCATATTCAAGAGATTTAATCACGCGTAGGTTCTTATTTTGAAGATATTTAAAGGGACGTGTGCCATATGGAGTAACAGTGCCTATCTGGAATATGGTCTGAAATGGCAGCAATAAAATCCAAAATCTTAAAACAATGGAAAACACTATGGCAGAACACGAATGTAAGAAGCAGCATTTTCATTATCACTTGAATAAAAAGGTTATTATGAATTATAACTAGAATCTGATTTTTCGTGAACCTGTACATAGTGAGTCTTAGGGATCGGACCACGCTCAGTTTTTGAAAAATAGTTCAGCTGACGTGCGTCCGCGCTCTTCTTTATAATAGGAAGATGGTGCCTAAATGCGGAGGCTATGTTACTGAAAGCTTAAACAAACGTCATGATATTGTAGCTCTATATCTGTTGAGGCAGAACCATTGCGTTGGTGGTTTTCAGCGAGGCAAACTAGTGGCTACATCTATCGGAGACCACTGGGTCTATAACTTCGAGAACGAACCTCGAACACGCTCGAAACTTCTAGTGGAAATCACGCACTGGTTAAAGGCAAAGACGAATGCTGTCTTCCTTGAGACCATATGTGTGCTTAAACACAATTATTCATTAGGATAATTGATGTTCCAAATTATCATGTCCTCAGGTACTGATATCTTCCAAGTATCTCACCGGAGGCTTCGAAATTTTAACTAAATTTCGACTGCTGAAACTAATTTCAATGTTATTTTGCCGTGACATGCTTCGCCATGATAATGTTTGTACCTGATTCTCACTGTTTCTTGAACTCCTTATATATTATGACAGCGTCAAAATTGTTATAGTGAACCATATGTATGACGAAGTTCAGCTAGAATCACGTCTCAGGAGCCCAATTCAACACAGCGAGGAGTGGACTAACCAATACACAGTGGGCACGGTTTTACTATCTATCGATGAACTGTTTTCATTAAGGTTTCCTTAATAGAAGAGTTGTTGAAATCAAAACTGATCCGAGGAGCATACCTACGTTAAGACTATAAGCTGAAAGCTCATATTGTCATCTTCTCTTTCAGTGGGACATTCTCTAAGGATCCGGCATACTAGCAAAGCTTGACACAAATCTTACAAACTGCAAGCAAGTCATCAGCAAATCAATAGCCACACATCATGCATCATGTCATATGTCATTCAAGAATATCAAACGTAAAATGTAAGGCTCATTAAATCATTCATTCTCACACTTACACCTTTTGCTCATCATTTCAAGCGCTTCTTAACCCCGCAAAAATTATTCTTATCAGCGCGTGATGCCGACAAGTATCGGTTCAGAAACGCACCCTCTATATTTTGTATGGGGTCTGTGATTATTTTTCAAAATGGGTATTACAGTCTTGTAGTGAACTTACTGATATCAATCTGAGTACTATTATTGGTGCTAGCTAATACTATTCTTCACTTGTAGACTGCAGACTTGATGACTATAAGAGAGGGTTGTGGATGATTTAGCTCATGGAAAGTTCAACTGAATATCGTAGTGACCTTAGGAATGCTGGACAAATCGTGTCTCAATTCAAAACCCGTATTAACTGGCTCTCCTAAACTTGAGCATTAAAGGCCCTTATACTGTGGCGAATCCATCTACTTAAATTCTTCTCCATCTATGATTATAGATAACAAACGAAACAATACATCAAGTGTCAATGTAGGAAAACTAGGTCTATATATATGAAAATACCGTGAAACAATCTCGTTATATGTATTATATAAAAACTGCTTTGAAGATGAATGCAAATTGTAAAGCGTCCACCCCGCATCACTAATGCATAAGCCATTTTATATGTAATGGAGGATATAACCTGCTTAGAATTATTGATGTAAAAAGCGCTCATTTATTCATCAGCCTGCATTCATTTTTTCTTTCGTAGTTTTCAACCAGTTCATGATGAATTCTTTACTCTTCTATCAATGTTTAATTGTTTCTAGCTTTCAGCTTGTAAATTTTTCAATGGATTCAGTGTTCAAGGATGTCTGATTATAGTAATCAGGATCTTTTACAGTTTGTGAATTGCTGAGGAATGTAAAAATAGATAAATATATCAGTTGCAATTTAACCATTCCTTCAGTTGTATAGGGAGAGGAAGGCAACTGATATGAAATTGATCAAGGGATAATCTGAACGATTGTATTCTGTCAAGGAACAAAGCTATGTAGGAATAAAGAAGTGGTTGTTTCAATCATAATACCTTTATAAGGCCTTAGAAGTGACGGAGCTTGTTTGCGGAATATAAACATTCCTAAAACGATAATAAATAAACGTGATATGGCAAAGCTATTTCCAAAACTGGAACAAAATATGTCCATACAGGGTTCCCGAAAGCGGAGTTTTCTCTATTTGCCATCAGATTAAAGCATTATTAGATGTGCTATCGCATCATGTGATCGAATAACACAGTTTGTTGTACAAACTTCCACTGTAAGGTGTATGTCTGACCGTGGTTGAAATATATGTTAAAAATCATCTTTTGTTTTACTTTGGAACATTGAACATCAAATTGTACTATTCGATAGGTTCCTTAAGGTGCTTTTCAAAAAGGTCCCCCTATGTATTTTGAACGGCAGGGATATTACGTAAATAATCTAATATATAAGGTCAACAAGAATCGGTGTAATGTCAACTTGCGTACTAGATAGTCGCTAGTTCACGCAGGCGCATGCGCTGTGAATGCTACCTATGGAGAGAGAGAGAGACAGAGAGAGACTTGCGGAGCTTGAACCATAAAAGCTATAAATGGCCCTCCACCAGTGCCATCTCTAGAACAGATGTTACATTACAACAGAACCAAGCCATATATATATATAGCTCAAGTGTCATGATGCTTAGGCAACACGCACAGCTAGTACAGGTGAACATGAAGTGAAAGACAGCTAGCTCCAAGGAGACGTTTCACAATGACAGTGTTGCTTCCCACACCTACTGGCGAGGTAGTATTGTAATCGCAAAAGTTTTCAAAAGTGAGATACGTTTGTTAGGTATCACATGAAATGTACATCATGAAAAACCACTTATCCCCATCGGTCTGACTGTCTCCTA